CCCCAAAACCCCAAAACCCCAAAACCCCAAAACCCCACTATGGGTATAAAAGATTGAATAAATATTAAAGATAAAATTCGAAAATGGAGCCTGTAAGTGACAAAGATATCTCAATGTTGACTTTTGTACAGACAAATTGTGATGGCCAAACCTCGATAGAGTTAAGCACAGAGAGTTCTACTGCGCAGATATCTCCTGAGGTAAGCTGATTCACTTACCTTGCTAAACTATATGTTTTAGGACGTTAGTTTTGATAATATTGAGATTGATGATGAACTAAAGGAAAAATTTACTGAACTTTCTTGAGTGCTGTTTCACCCAGAGAACTATCCACAAGGTATTACTCCTTCCTGACTTTTAGCCGAGTTTATTGAGAAACAGAACTACTTGATCCAGAATATAGATGAGATGTAAATATCCTGCTAAATTTTTAGATCAGAACCTGTTCTGTTGAAAATAATAATCTCTTGTCTCTCAAACCTGCAGAGTGATGAGCTTAAGCTAGCTCTGAATGTGATAAAACAAAAATAAATTTAATCATATCTCTTTCTTGCTTGGCCAAGAGCGATTGGCTCTATTTAATTTGGAAAGAATTTTCTGATTCCAGGTTTTAGAAGAAATGTTCACAGAGCAAATTATTCAGCAGTTTATTAACCAGGAGACAAATGAACCTAATTTTGAGATCAATCGAGTTGTACTGCAAGATCTAGCCCAGATTGTGTGAAAATTAATTGTTCCTTACCTCAGAAAAACTGAAATTGATCCATTTTCTGTCCTAATTCAGAGATTTATGCATTGAGAGTGTCCTGAAAATACCTCAGCCCAGGTATGAGCTTATATAACCATGACTTTTCTTCAAGAGCTTTTGCCGGATACTCTGCCAGATTTTCCTCGTGAAAGAAGGAACTATGTTCAAAAGTTGCCGAAGGCATTGTTGAAAATCTTACCGAAAATTTATCAAAAGTAGGTTCTCCCTATCAAATTACTTCTAGCCTTGAAGGGATTGATGATCCCCAGGTTGAAACTTTAATGCATAAAATATGTTTGGTGTGCCCTGAATGCCCAGTACCGATTACAACATCCCCAAATCTCCAGGTTTTGAAAGAGACAATCCTTAAAGGTTTCGTTACTGTTGTTAATTTTTAGAAGCGTACATTACCAGTGAAGATTCCAATAAAAATATTGAGCAATTCAAGCACATATTGGAGTGTCTGTATCAAGCAATTATTGAAGCTACATCAGAGATTCAGCAGGGCCAGAGGGAAGATAAAGCTGTCCAAATGAGCCATACAATTTCACAAATTCTATGGTACAACGTTATATCCTTAATATAGATCTTTGAACTGTGCACAGATAGTGTCTCTACCTTCGAGATTAGAGCTACTTCAAAACTGGGTGACAAGTGTAACTGGGCTTGCTACTGAGCTACTTAAACATGATTTCTCATTCACTTTCTCCGTGCTGGAGCATATTTCAGATTTAATCACTGAGTTATCTCTACTAGAAGATCAAGAGATCCAAGAAGTTATAACTTTACTTGAAATATTTATGCGGGAATATGTTGAAAAATGCCTCGGAAAAGAAGCTAATATAGGGGAATATCTTTGCCTTGGAACACAAGGATATAAATATCTTTCAGAAATTTTAGCTAGTGACCAATTCAAAATCCTTAAGCAAGGAGTTGACGATACCAGCCAAATGGAATCACTAATCAGCACTGTGCTGGTCACTTGCCCATTGAAAAGTAACTATCATTAATTATACTGTTTTAGAGGTAGAAGCTAATATTTTGAGAAGCAAGAGAGGAGAATTTAAGACCAGAGCTCGACCACGTATTACTTCAGTAAGTCTTTGCTATCATCGTTCTAGGCTGAATTAGAGTATACAGCCAATGCTTTCTTAGCTATCAATGAAGTCTCCCTTGGCTTACTTGAGAAAGGAACATATTTGAAGAAATATTTTGAGTTCAGGAAGTTCTTGATCAAGCTATTTACAAAGGGATCTGTTCCAAGAGAATGCTCCGAGCTATTAGAAATGATTTCAGCTTTACATAAAAAGGAAAATGTCTTCGACTTGTTGTTGAATGTGTCTACTCATTGTATAAAACAATTTAATGATTTTGACATTATCTCTAATGAAATTAGCATCCAATATGATCTATTAAGGAACTACTCCACTAATGTAACAAGCTTGAGAATTTCAAAGGAAGTTTTTGATGAGATCATCAAAATTCAGGCCCAAAAAGAATGAAGTGTGATTCAGAATAACCAGAATTATTCCCCTGAATGGTAAGCTACTCTCTCACTCTCTAGGTCGCAGACTAAATCTGAGTTATTTGGATGTTTGACGAGATCAGTGATTATTCATAAGCAGGTCTATTACAACGAAGCCTTAGATACGTTGGTATTGTTGAAATTTTAATTTTTAGCTAAACCACTTTTCTGATAAAGTCTGATTAGATGTTGAAATTGATTCTCTAAACACGCTGTTAGATTTCTTTTCATTTATTGCACAAATCCGTGGATTCTTATAAAAGGGGCTTTCATTGACACGGAGTTCAAAAACATTTACTTGGTAAGTACTAGCCTAATCTTTGTAGCTAATTGAACATTCTTGTTTACATTCAATTTTGAACAAAGCGAAGATAGTATTGATGGAGCCAACAGGAAGCAATCAAACTGAGCTGAGCACGCAGAATGGTATCTTTGAAGACGATTACAAGCTATGTCTGATCACAGAGTTACTCTCCTTGCTAGACGGTATTGTTAACTACCATCCGTACCAGACATACAAGTTTGAAGGCTCAATTATTGTCAGGACATTTGACAACGAAACTAAAGGTGGGATTCGAAAAGTTATTGGAAAATAGCTAACCAAAAGTCTATAGTCAATCTCAATGAAGAGATAGCTAGAATTATGGCAATAGGTACTCCTTTTGGGGCTTATGATATAGCATTGGAGGTCATCACCTCTTCTTTCTCTTGCATTAGCAAGGAAGAGTTGAAGACAGAGGTTTTACATAGCTTGGGCAAGTGTCTTAAGTTGTTTTGGTAAGAATTTTGGTAATGAGTAGAACTATGTGCGAGAAGTGAAAAATTCATAGAAGAAACTCTAAGATGGAGATTCCCAATTTTCATAGATTCATCATGAATTGACTCTATCTTCTATCAAATTTGGATTTTAATGAAATCAGTATTTTGGAAGACAAGGCTGCTTATGTGTACAGGTTCATGGATAAGTTATTTGATGTGTTTCTATGCCATCAGGATTACTCAGAGATTATTCAAGTGTTAAACGGTATGTATTTCTGTTAATCTAAATTATAGAGCCTCAATTCCATCAGTTCTTGATAAACTACCTCAAATTTGCAATTGAAAATTGTAAGGATATTTCTAGGTTTAAAATTTGCTAAATTGCATGGATTTTGATATTATGCTAAAATCTTACTATTTCTCAATAAGCTTTAGGCAGCAGTGATGCATCTATGGGAGAGAACTTTCAAAGCCCTGGAATTGTGAGTGATCAAATATTATTCTAATATAGCCTGCAGTCTCCAATATGTTAATCTCAAAGGGAGTTTTGTCAAGAATAAACTACTTCATACATAAGGCATCGGAGAGTCCTAACCCAGAGACTCTTGATGTAGATACTTCTAGGCTCTCTTCTGTGCTCAAACTCGGTCCCATCTTCGAAGTCTTTGTTGGGAATAACCGTGAAGGATTAATAAAGATTTTTGATTTTTGCTTAACTCAAATTTTGATAAAGTAACACATTTTATTACAAAATTTAGACGAGAAACTAAAAATTGAGGGACTATAACAGAGATTTTGCTAGCGATTTTAGGTCTCAAATACAGGAACGAACAAGGAGAGCCACAAACTATTCTAGCACAAGAAGAACTAGCCCAGCTTTGTGACATCAGTACGTCAATGCCCTAACTTTAGGTGAAAAATACGAACCAAATTCAAGAAAAGTTATTGAAGAGCTATACACCGAGGCAATGAAGTATGATTTCAGCAACAGAGAGAAGAACATTAACTTTATAATTCAAGAGTTCTTAAGAGCTTAGATCTGTGAAATTTCAACCTTGTTATGACGACTTGGGGTTTTGGGGTTTTGGGGTTTTGGGGTTTTGGGG